TAAACAGGCGTTAGAGAGCGATGTATACATGATTGAATGCAGATACATACATATAGATAGAAATTAGAGCGATGTACACACGTTTAAGCAGATACATACATATAGATAGAAGCTAGAGGGATGTGTATACGGTTGAACACAGATACATATATATAGAAAGGCGTCAGACCGATGTATACACGTTTAAACAGATACATACATATAGATAGGCGGTAGAGCGATGTATACACGTTTAAAATACATACATATAAACAGAAGTTAGAGCACATCCCACGTACACGTAAACACACACACACACACACACAGCACACACAACCACAACACAACACACAACACACACACAACACACACACACACACACACACACACATACACACACAACGAGTCAATACTAAGTAAATAAAAAAAACTAAATTTACAACATACACACTCACGCTATATACATCTGTCCATAAACAAAGAATTATACGTACAGACATATGAACACATATACATGATAACATACAAATAATGAAACCATACAGCACACACAGACACATGACTTACATAATACACACATCCACGCACCATTCACAAGAAAGAAAGAAAGATAGATAGATAGACTAGATGGATATATATATATTATATATTATATATAATATAATATATATATATATAGAGAGAGAGGAGAGAGAAGAGAGAGAGAAGAGGAGAGAGAGAGAAAGAGAGAGAGAAAGAGAGAGAGAGAGAGAGAGAGAGAGACAGACAGAGACAGAGAGAGACAGAGAGAAGAGAAGAAAAGAGAAAGAAAAGAAAGAAAAAAATAGAGAAGAGAAACAGACAGAAAGACAAACACACACACACAAACAAACACTCATAAACACAGACGAAAGAGAGGGAGAGATAAAGACGAAGCGAAAGATAAAGTCAAATCGGAAAATCCACACCTGGCAACCCCCTGTTCATCGGAGCGATAAAGATTTCGGTCGCAAAGGAAATAAAGGAGATAAAGATTATAATTTTTAACTAGCGGTTATCCTGTTGTGCTTTGTTAAGGTGCGTCGTTGGGTGGTTTTCTGAGCGTGCGCTATCCAGAATGTTTGTTTGTTTGTTTGTACGTGTTTTTTGTTTGTTTGTGTGTTTGTGTGTGTGTGTGTTTGTTTGTTTGTTTGTGTGTGTGTGTGTGTTGTGTGTTTGTGTTGTTTGTTTGTGTGTGTGTGTGTTGTTTGTTTGTTTGTGTTGTGTTTGTTTGTTTGTGTTTGTTTTGTTTGTGCTTTTTTATTTTTGTGATTTTTGTTTGTGTGTTTGTGTATGTTTGTATGTTTGTTTGTGTGTGTATTTTGTGTTTGTGTGTATTGTGTATGTATATGTTGTGTTTTTGTTAGTTTGTTTGTATATTTGTGTGCGCGCGCGTGTGTGTTTGAGTGTGTGCTTGAGTGCGTTATTATGTGTATGCGTGTATGAGTTTTACAAACAAGAAAGACAACTTAGCAATACCTCCCTGTTGCGTATGTGTGTACGTATGTGTATATCTATTTGTATGTGCCTATGTATGTATATGTGTACGTCTGTGTGTATATCTGTCTGTATATGCATATGTGTGCGTTTGTGTGTGCGTATGTGTATGTATAGTATGTATATGTGTGTGCAGTTTGTGCCTGTATATGTATATATGTGCGTTTTGTGTGTGTGTGTATGTATGTATGTGCATGTGTGTCGTTGTTGTGTGTATGGTATGTATGTGCATATCTCTCCGTTTGTGTCTGTATCATATACATGTATATGTATGTATGTGCGTTTTAGTGTGTGTACATGTGTGCATGTTTGAATAGGTTATGTCTACATCAATCAACAAATGAACAATTCTATGAAAAGTTTACCAAAAGCACGAAAAAGACACAAAAAACACCAAACGCAAAACATTTTGAAAAAATATATTCAAAAAGGAAAACAAAAGCGAAACGCAAAACACAGTGACGTCACATCTCAGTACAATGACGCCACATCTCAGTACAATGACGTCACACCCCAACGACGTCATAAAAGCTTTTCTAATTCAACGAGTCGGTGTCAACTAAAGCTTAGCAAGTCCGCGATAAAACATCACACGTATCACCCGCTTGTTGTAGAGATTAAAAAAAAAAGACATTGGCTTATATATCATTTCTCCGTCTTTTTTTTTTCTTTATCACCCTCCAGCTGAGGTGGGGATGACGTAACAGTTCACACCGATGACGTCATTGCTGATAAAACGCGGCTGTGAAATCCCGGATGATGGGGGTAGGGGGAGGGGTGGGAAAGGGAGGCAAGGAAAGAGGTGGGAAAGAGAGAGGAACAGAGAGAGTGAGAATAAGAGAGAAGGAGGTAGAGAGAGAGACGGAGAAGAAGATAGAGAGAAGGAGAAAGAGGGAATGAGGGAATAAGAGAGAGAGAGACTAAAAGGGATAGGGACAGAGAGATACGGAGAGCGAGATAGAGAGAAAGAGAAGAGGGGAGTGAGATAAAGAGAGAGAGAGAGATTTAGAGAGAGTTGGAGGTAGAGAGACATGAGGAAGAGGATAGAGAGAGAATGGGGAACAGACCAGAGAGAGAAAATAAGAAGAGATGGGGAAGGAAGGAAGAGAGGGGGTAGAGAGAGGGAGAATAAGGAGGAGGAGAGAAAGATAGGAGATAGAGAGAGGCGGAGGAGAGGACAGAGAGAAATAAAAGGAGCAATGACGGAATCAAGAAAAGAGAGAGGAAAGGAAGGGAAAGGGAAGGAAGAGGGAGGTAAGGAAGAAGAGAAAAAGAAAGAGGGACGAAAAGGGAGAGAGAGGGGGGAGGAGACGGGAAGAAGAGAGATAGAGAGGGAGGGGGTGAAGTAAAGAGATAGAGATAGAAGAGAGAGAGGAGGAGAGAGAGGATGAGGAAGAAATCGAAGGAGAGAGAGAGAGGGAGGAATAAAGGGATAAAGTGATAAAGTGACAAACAAAATGAGAGAGAGAGCGAGACAGAGAGAGAGAGAGAGAGAGAGAGAGAGAGAGAGAGAGAGAGAGAGAGAGAGAGAGAGAGAGAGAGAGAGAGAGAGAGAGAGAGAGAGAGAGAGAGAGAGAGAGAGAGATGAATGAGAGAGAGATACAGAAAGAGAGAGAGAGAGAGAGATAATGCGTGAGTGCAAGAGAGACAGAGAGAGAGAGAGAGACAAACAGACAGACAAAGACAGAGACAGAGAGAGAGAGAGAGAGACAAACAGACAGACAAAGACACCAACACACGCATCAAAAACGTACATTCTAACATTCTTTAACGTTAAGTAAGAGTAAAAAAAGTAACTTAAATCCATAAACTTAAAGTGATGTTACTCTATGTGTGTTAGTGTGTGTGTGTGGTGTGGGTGTGTGTGTGTGTGTGTGTGTGTGATGTGTTGTTTGTGTGCGTATGAGAGATATAGATCTAGATTGTGTTTGGGGGTATGTGTGTGCGTGTGTATATGTATATGTGTGTCGGGTGTGAGTATTTGTTTGTGTGTGATTGCGTGTGTGTGTTGTGTGTGTGTTGTGTGTGTGTGTGTGTGTGTGTGTGTGTGTGTGTGTGTGTGTGTGTGTGTGTGTGTGTGTGTGTGTGTGTGTGTGTGTGTGTGTGTGTGTGTGTCTGTGTGTGTGAGTGTGTGTGTGTTGTGTTTTATGTAGTGTGGTGTGTGGTGCGTGTGTGTGTATGTGTGTATGTGCGTATGTGTGTGTAATTCTGACAATCAACATACCTAAATTTACAAACACACATACCTATCTATCACACATATTCAATAAATCTAATAAATCACTGAAAGCAAAAGAAATAATACATCTGCATTTTCAGCTTCATTTTAGATAAATATCAAATGTATTATCTCAAGCCTTCCTGAATCTTTATGTCTGTGTATATTGTCTATTTCAAATATTTTTTTTTTTTTCCGCATTGTGAAAAGTCCGAATTTTGCGACAAAAAAATACAGTATGAAATTTGACAATATTCAAGTTTCTCTTTATTTTGAAATGTGATACTTTGTCATGACCTTTTTTCTCTCTCTCTCTCTCTCTTCTCTCTCTTCTCTCTCTCTCTCTCTCTCTCTCTCTCTCTCTCTCTCTCTCTCTCTCTCATTCTCTCTATTTTTCTCTTTCTTTTTTTTTTCTCTCTCTCTATCTATCTCTTCTCGTTTCATTCTTCTAACGCTACACAGTTATCAATCTTAATCTCACACCTGCACGCCCACCCTCCACTCCGTCCGCCCCCTCACCTGCCCCTGCCGCCAACCCACGACCTTTCGCTACCGCCCACGCTATAAATTTCTCTCCCGCCGCCCTATACTACCCATAACCTTTTCTCTCGCTCCCCCCCATCCCTCCCGCCCACTCCTCCTTCCCCTCCCTCCCCCCCGCCCGCTTTCTACCGCCCACACGACCGAGCCAGCATAGACGCCCGCGCCACCCACACCACCTTCTGTGAGGAGAGGGGAGGGGCGGGAGGGGGGAAGGGAGAGAGGGAGGAGTAGGAGGGGAGAAGAGGGAGGAGGAAGGGAAGGAGGAGAAGGGGAAGAGGAAGGGAGTGCGAGGAAGGAGGGAGAGAGAGGGAAGATTTGGGGAGGAGGAGGGGAAAGAGAGAGAGAACGAGGGGGAAGGCGGAGGGGAGGGAGAGAGGAGAGGGAAGAGAGAAGATTTGGGGAGGTGAGGAGAAAGAGAGAGAGAGAGAGAGAGAGAGAGAGAGAGAGAGAGAGAGAGAGAGAGAGAGAGAGAGAGAGAGAGAGAGAGAGAGAGAGAGAGAGAGAGAGAGAGAGAGACAGACAGAGACAGACAGAGACAGAGACAGAGACAGACAGACAGACAGAGAGAAAGAGAGACAGACAGAAGACAGAGAAGAGAAGAGAAAGAGAGAGAGAAGGAGGAGGAGGGAGTGCGTCGAGGGGAGTAAAGCAAAGCAAATAGCCCTCGGTCTGCAACCACACGGCGCATGCCCGTCCCTCAGCCATCACCTAGCAACCCCTGTAGCGGACGGGAGGGAGCAGCACTTTCCCCTTTCCCCTCACGCGCCGTAGCTCCCTCGCCACTCACACGCAAACCTCCTCCTCGCTCGCACGCACGCACTCGCTCTCGCTCCCGACCATGGTGCGTTCTCAGGCCCCCTCGCTGTCTAGTCAAGGAGCGCTGAGTGTGTAGTAGAATTCTTTTTTTTTTCAAATATCTATTTTTATTCTATAGTGAACTGAGGTATAGTGAGTGAAGACGGTGTGTCGGGATCTCTTAGCCGAAGTGGTAGTATAGTGTCTTTGTGTTTTACTATCGAGACGCTTAAGTGCTTAAGAGAATGGTGATACCGGTTGCATATAGTGAAGATTTGAGAAGATATGCGTCGGTGTCCGAGTGAACTGAAGACAGCTTGTTCTAGTGTAGAGTTCAGGGTAAGCATGGTATAGTACGCACGCATGTATACACAAATACTCACACACAAGCACACACACGCTCACACACGCATACCTACACATGGATATACACGCACTCAAACACACTTACACATGGAAATACACACATTCAAACACACGCACGCATACACACTTAAACATGGAAATACACGCACTCAAACACACAGAAATACACACGCACGCATACATACTTAAACATGGAAATACACGTACTCAAACACGCACATATGCATACTTACACATGTAAATACACATCCACACACACATACTTATACACGGGAATGTTATACCAAAATATCTAATACATAGGATATCCACGTACTTTGTTATTAACACATCCATAAACATATAAATATATTTGTTGTTGTATGATACATTCATAAATCAACAATACATGCACTTATTCAGAAGCGCTACTCATAAAATGTTTGTTTACATGTAATGAATGAATCGATCCTAAAACAACAGTGTTTATCCCTCTGTTTCTCTTTAATATATTAAAATAATACGGTCCTGTATCTACAATACACATACCTATACACAATCAATACTGTATAAAGTGACAAACAACAACAACTCGACACATACCAAAACACGAATGTTGCACCATACCCAAGATCGAATCCCTGTACAATAACACCAAAATGTGACATGACATCCTCCTCCTTTAGCCTCTGAGACCCAAACATTATAACACTGAAGTAGGAGCCTTGTTTCGTCCACACAAAAAAAGGGACGAATTTTACGCCATGTTGTGCCTTTAATCTCTCTGGAACACTTACCTACGTGGTCCCTGGTGAGTCCTCCCTTCTCATTCATTCTCGCGTTGCTTCACCCTCCTCCTCTTTCATTCTTCTTTGTCTTCTGCTTATCGTCTTTATCTGTGTGTTTGGTATTTTTGTTGACTTCTTATCGGCGTTGTGTTGTATTTTTTGTGTGTGTTGCGTGTTGTGTTTGTTTGCGAATGTGTTTTGTGTATGTGTATATAATGTGTGTGTTGTGTGTGTGTGTGTGTTGCGTGTGTGCTGTGTGTACGTATGTGTATGTGCGTATGTGTATTTTATTTGATTCTGTCTGCAGTTCTGTGTCTCTTTTTATCCGGCTTTGACTTTGAAAATCCATTTTTCTTTATCTTTTTTTCCTTCTCCACCTCTATCTCTCTCTCTCTCTCTCTCTCTTCTCTTCCTTCTTCCGTTTTCCATGTGGCGTTCCCTCTCTTTACTTCCCCCTCCCCACCCCTCCTTCTCCTCCCCCCTTCCCCCCTTGGTTGAAACGCATTTAATCCTATTAGTTATTAGTGTCGTCTTTCGTTCCTTCTTCCTCCTCCTTCCTTCCCCTTACTCTCCTTTTTCCTTCTTTCCTCTTCTTTCTTTTTCTCTTCCTCCATTTTCCTTCTCCTCTTTTTTCCTCCTCCTCCTATTCCTCTTTTCTACCTCCTCCTCTTCCTCACCACCCTCTCCCTCCTCCTCCTTTTTTCCTCACCACCTCCCCCTCCTCCTCCTTTCCTCCTCCTCTCCTTTTCCTCCACTTTTCCTCTTCCCCTTTCGTCGTTGCGATGATTGATGACCCTGTTGTGGCCAAGGGAGCGAGCGCCGAAAAAATATCAAATATGTCATGTTATCGTTTTTTTAAGACAGACTTTGTGTAATGTTTTGTTCTTCGTATTATCATATATATATATATATATATATATATATATATATATATATATATATATATATATATAGATAGATAGATATAGATAGATAGATAGATAGATATATAGATAGATACATATTATATATAATGTTATATGTGTGTCGGGTGTGTGCGTGTGTGTGTGCGTGTGTGTGTGTGTGTGTGTGTGTACATATACACGAGTAAATGTTTTATGTGTGTCTCATCCATAAATCTACATTGACATTTCTGCTCACATTCGCATTCATATTCATTTTCATATGTGAATTCCCCTATAAAAAAAGATAGAAGGATTAATAGAAACAGATTTAGATGAATAGATAGACAGATAAAGGAAGAATATGGACGTAGAGTGATAGACAGATTGGCAGTTAGAAGGAGCTTTAAAGTCAGTTTGATTGACAGATGACCATTAAGGGAAGTTATCCTTGTTTACACGATTCTCGAAATATTCTTATCTTTTCTCTCATTTACCTCTTTGGGTTCCTATTCTTGTTAGAATTTACCTCTTCTTTTCGTTCTTTTTTTATCTCTCTTCTTCTCTTTCTTGTGTCTTTCCTATTTTTTCTAACTTGTGTTTTTTCCTCTTTCTTGTTTCTTTTCTCTTATTCTTTATTTTTATCAGAACTTAACTCTTTCTTTCTTTTTTTTCTCTTCCGTGTTTTGTCTTTTTTTTCTCTTATTCCCTATTCTCATCAGAATTCACTCTCTTTCTTTTTTATATTATCCATTTCACTTTCTTGCCTTTTCCCGTTCCATTATTCCCTTCTCTTCATAAACCAGTTTTTTCCTTACATTTCCTTCTCTTTCTTCCTTATTCATTGCTTGTTTTCCTGTCTCTGTTTTTCTGTTGTCTGTTAGTCTCTCTCTCTCTCTCTCTCTCTCTCTCTATCCGTTCCTTTCATTCTCTGTTTTATCCACCGGTTATACATTTTTCATCTCCCTCTTCCCTGTTCTCTATCTTTTTTCCCGGTTCCTCCCTTTCCTCCGCTTCATCAACTTTTTATCTTTTTTCTATCTTTCATCAGATTTCCCTTATCCCCTCATCGTCAACGAAATTAATTTTCTCTTTCTTTATGCACCCTTTCCTCATTTCAAATTAACCCTCCCTTCTCTCCTCTCCCCTTTTCCCTCCAGATTATCTTCCCTTTCCCTCTTCCTAGCCTCCTATCCCTCCACTCTTCCATTTTCCTCTCCAAGTCACTTTTCCCTTCTCTCCCTCCATCTAGTCTATCCCACCCTCCCCCTCCCTTCCCTCCTATTCATCCCACCCTCCATGTCATTTATTCCAACACCCCTCCCATTCTCCACCTTCTCTTTCTTCTCTTCTCTCTGTTTCTCTCTCTCTCTCTCTCTCTATCTCTGTATCTCTCACTCCCTCTCCCACTTCCTCTTCCCTCTCTTCTTCTCTGTCTCTCTTCTGTCTCTCTCTCTCTCTCTCTCTCTCACTCTCTCTCTCTCTCTCTCTCTCTCTCCTCTCCCTCTCCCCTCCCTCACCCTCTCCCTCTCCCTCTCCCTCTCCCTCTCTCGTCCACTCACGCCCTTGCTCACGCCCTTCCTCTCTCCGCAGGCGTGAGAAGATGCCGGAACAGAGTAACGACTACCGCGTGGTGGTGTTCGGGGCTGGAGGCGTCGGCAAGTCCTCCTTGGTCCTGCGCTTCGTCAAGGGCACCTTCCGGGAGTCCTACATACCCACCATCGAAGACACGTATCGCCAGGTGAGTCCGAGCGTGCTGTGTGTGTACGCTGGCGGTGTTTTTGTTTACGTTCGTGTAAGGCGTCGTTCGCGTGCGTGTGGATTCGTGCGGATTCACATGCGCTTGTGTTTGGATGTTTTGTAATATTGTGACATTATTATATTGGGATTTATTGTTTTATGTCACATCTTTTAGAATGTAATTACAGTTCATGTTCTAGTAGTTAAATCTTTGGAATGTGTATACTTTTCATATAAAATAGGTCATAGCTTTGGAATATATTTACTAAACATTCATTTTCATTTTCTATTAGTCACGTGACATCTTTTGGAGTATAAAAAACATTCATTATCGGTTAATCACATCTTTAGAATATATTTACTATTCATATTCCTGTTGACAATATATTTATTTATATATTTTCAATTGTGTTTCTGTTTGTCTGTTTCCCGCTTTTTTTGTTTGTTTGTTTGTTTCCTTTGTCTTGGTTCTCTCAAGATAACGACTTTTTTTAGTATGATTTTACGTCCTAAAACCGTTATCATCACACTTCATAAAGCATTTTTACGGCGGTTTTATCTCAGCTTGTAAACTCGCTTGCCAAATAATATCTTTCTTTCGTCATTTTGTTAAGAAATAATGTAGTTTTATTGATTTATAGAACCACGTGACTTAGTGAACGGACATCGAAAAATTATGTTTCTGAATCTTAACGAACTAACGTTTCTGTTGATAATTACGTTTTTTTTCGTTTTTTTTTTATAAGATTAGATAATAAAACGTATTTTATTATCTTGAAAAGGAGGACAGGAAGTGGCGGACGTGCCAGAAGGTTAAATGCGCTCTTGTTGTTGTTATTTTTTTTTAATGATAATCTCATCTCTTGACGCTGCTATCACTTATTTTTATTGTATATTTTGCTGAATTAGTAAGAACGATTGTTATGACTTTGACCCAAATAATTTCTAGTGTTTTTTATCTATTTCTCTGGTTTTACTGTACGTTCGTAATCCAACTTTCCTGTCACACATTTGCCGTCCGAAGTTATATGAAATTTGTCATTCGTAAAGTTAAAAAAGACATACTTTCCTGTGGCGTTCACATTTGTCGTTCGAAATTATATGAAATTTGACATTCGTAAAGGAAAATACAAAACAAAACATGCTTCTGTTATATTCTGGCTCTGTTACGTTCACATTTTGTACGATATTATATGAAATTTGTCATTCGTAAAAGAAAAAAAAAGCCTCTGTTACGTTCACATTTTGCCGTCCGAAAGTATATGAAATTTGTCATTCGTAAAAGAAAAAAAAAACATGCCTCTGTTACGTTCACATTTTGTCGTCCGAAAGTATATGAAATTTGTCATTCGTTAAAAAAAGAAAAGAAAAAAAAATATTTTTTTCCTGTCACGTTTACATTTATCATCCAAAATTATATAAAATTTATCATTCGTAAAGAAAAAACACAATATTTTTTTTACATGTCACGTGCGCATTTATCGACCGAAATGTTATGAAATGTATCATTCGAAAAAGAAAAAAAAAGTTAGCAGCTGAGGTCACCCTTATGTATTAAGACGAAACAGAGGATCATCTTTAGTTTGGAAACCTTAAAACTACTCACTGGAAACCCTTCCTTGCTGCTTAGAATGGTTTTGTTTTATTTATTTGTATTTTTTATTTATTTGTTTATTTTATTATCCCCTTTTCTTCATTTTTTTGTTAATTACGTTTTCTTTTTATAAATTATTTCCCATTTCCTTTTTTATTATTTATATTTCCTTTTCTATTATTCCCATTATATTTTTTCCATTATTTCCATTTCCTTTTCTTATTATTACTCTCATTTCCTTTTTATTTTTTCATTATTTCTATTTCCTTCTTTTATTATTTTCTTTTCCTTTTCCATTATTTCCATTTCCTGTTTTATTATTCTCCTTTCCTTTTTTTATTATTCCCATTTCCTTTTCCATTTTTATTCTCATTTCCTTTTTCATTTTTATTCCCATTTCCTGTTTTTCTTACACTTTCCTCTTATCCTCCTTATCATCGTAGCCTCGTATGTCTCCGAGCTGAGGGAGACAAGGGAGAAAGTACAAGAAAAAGTATTCTTTCTCTCCCTCTCTCCCTTACCCTTATTTTGACCCTAATTCTAACCTTGTTTGCCCCCGCCTGGGTGAAGAATGGTGTTCAGGAAAGATATGCACCTGTACCATCTCTCTCTTTCTGTCTCTTTCTCTTTGTCTCCTTCCTTTAATGTCTCTTTCTTTCTTTGTCTCTATCTCTCTCTGTCTGTCTGTCTCTCTGTCTGTCTCTGTCTCTGTCTCTCTGTCTCTGTCTCTGTCTCTGTCTCTGTCTCTCTCTCTCTCTCTCTCTCTCTCTCTCTCTCTCTTCTCTCTCTCTCTCTCTCTCTCTCTCTCTCTCTCTCTCTCTCTCTCTCTCTTCTCTCTTTCCTTCCTTTATCTCTCTTTCTCTCTTTATTTCAACATTCTCTCTCTCTCTATCTCTCTCTCTCTCTCTCTCTCTCCTCTCTCGCTCTCTCTCTCTCTCTCTCTCTCTCTCTCTCTCTCTCTCTCTCTCTTCTCTCTCTCTCTTCTCTTCTCTCTCTCTCTCTCTCTTTCTCTCTCTCTTTCCTTTCGTTCTCCCACTCTCTCTTTCTCTCTCTCTCTCTCCCTCCTCTCCCTCTCCCTCTCCCTCTCCCTCTCCCTCTCCCTCTCCCTCTCCCCTCTCCCTCCCTCCCTTCTCCCCTTAACCTAACCCTAATCTCGTCTGACCATGACCCAGACCAAGTATAAATGATATGCAGGGAGGGGAACCTACCCTCTGCATCCCTCCCTCCCTCCCTCTCCTCTCTCTATCCCTCTCTCTCCCCTCCCCTCCCTTCCTCTCTCTACCTTCCTCCCCTCCCTCCCTTCCTCTCCTCCTTCCCACCCTCCTCCGCTCTCTCCCACCCTTCTACCTCTCACCCTCCCTCTCCTTCATCCCTCTCACCCTCCTCTCCCCTCTCTTCCTCCCTCCTTCCCACCCCTTCTCCCTCCCTCTCTCTCCCTCCATCCCTCCCCTTCCTTCTATCCTCATTCCTTCCTCCCTCCCTTCCTCCTTCCCTTCTCTCCCTCCCTCCCCTCTCCCCTCTCTTCCTCCCTCTCCTCCCTTTCCATCCCTGTCCCTCCCTCCCCCTTCCTTCCTTCCTCTCCCCTCTCCTTCCCAGCCCTTCTCCTCCTTCCTCTCCCCTCTCCTTCCCACCCCTTCTCCCTCCCTCTCTCTCACCTTTCTTCTCTCCCTCATTCCCTCCCTCCCTCTCCCAATCCCTCCCTCCCTCCCTCCTTCTACCTCCCTCCCTCTCCCTCTCTCCCTCCATCCTTCTACTCTCTCTCCCTTCCTCCCTCTCTCCATCCTTCTACTCTCTATCCCTCCATCCTTCTACTCTCTCTCCCTCTCCCTCCCCCACCATCCTTCTACTCCCTCCTTCTACCTCCCTCCCTCTCCCTCTCTCCCTCCATCCTTCTACTCTCCCCCCTCTCCTCCCTTCTCCCTCCCTCCCTTATCGACCGTCCTTGGGTCTTCGTCTGGCTTCGCTCCTCCTCTTGCGATCTCACTCAGCGCTTTATCTTCTTTCTCCTTCTCCTTATTCTCTCTTTCCTCCTCTTCCCCCTTTCTTTAAATTCATTTATTTTGTTCAAATCTAAATCTTTTTGTTTATCTTTCCCTTTCTTCAATTCTTTTCTCGTTCGCTTTATCTTTCCTTCTCCCTATTCTCTCTCTCCTCCTCTTCCCCCTTTCTTTAAATTCCTTTATTTTTTCAAATCTAAATCTTTCTCCTTCTGTTTATCTTTCCCTTTTTTTCAATTCTTTCTCGTTCGCTTTATCTTTCTCCTTCTACTTATTTTCTCTTTCCTCCTCTTCCCCTTTCTTTAAATTCATAATTTTTTTTCAAATCTAAATCTTTCTCCTTCTTTTATTTTTTTTTCAATTCTTTCTCCTTCTCTTTATCTTTCTCCTTCTCCTTATTTTCTCTTTCCTCCTCTTCCCCCTTTCTTTAAATTCATAATTTTTTTTTCAAATCTAAATCTTTCTCCTTCTGTTTATCTTTCCCTTTTTCAATTCTTTCTCCTTCTCTTTATCTTTCTCTTTCTCCTTATCTTCTCTTTCCTCCTCTTCCCCCTTTCTTTAAATTCCTTTATTTTTTTCAAATCTAAATATCTCTCCTGTTTATCTTTCCCTTTTTTCAATTCTTTCTCCTTGTCTTTATCTTTTCTCTTCTATCCCTTTCTTTAAATTCCTTTATTTTTTCAAATCCAAATCTTTCTCCTTCTGTTCTTTCCTTTTTTCAATCTTTTCTCCTTCTCTTTATCTTTCTTTTTTTTTCAATTAGTTCTCCTTCTCTTTTCTTTTCCTCCTTATTTTCTCTTTCCTCCTCTTCCCCCTTTCTTTAAATTCCTTTATTTTTTCAAATCCAAATCTTTCTCCTTCTGTTTATCTTTCCATTTTTTTCAATTCTTTCTCCTCTTTATTTTTCTTTTTTTTTTCAATTCTTTCTCCTTCTTTTCTCCTTATTTTCTCTTTCCTCCTCTTCCCCTTTCTTTAAATTCCTTTATTTTTCAATCATTTCTCCTTTCTTTCTCTTTCTCCTTATCTTCTCTATTTATCTATTCAGGGAACCCGCAGCTCCGTGCTTGTGGGAGGAGGGTGAAGGAGGGAAGAGCAGGGAGGGATGGCTTTAAAGTAGGAGGAGGGAGGAGGAGGAGGGAGAAGGAGGGGGGAGGGGGAGGGGGAAAGGAGGGGAGGAGGAGGGGGGTGGAGTGGGGGAGGGGAGGAGGAGGAGGGGGTGGAGGGAGGAGGAGGGGGTGGAGGGGAGGAGGAGGGAGAAGGGGGGGTGGAGGGGAGGAGGAGGGGGAAGGGGGTGGAGGGGAGGAGGAGGAGGAGGGGTGAAGGGGAGGAAGAGGAGGAGGAGGAGGAAAAAGAGGGGTGAAGGGGAGGAAGAGGAGGAGGAGAAGGAGGAAAAGAGGGGAAGGGAGGATGAGGAAGAAGAGGAGGGAGTGGAGGAAAGGGAGAAGGAGGTGGAGGAAGAGGGGGAGAAGGGGAGGAGGAAGAGGAGGGGAGGAAAGGTAAAGGAAAGGGAGGAGGGGGAGAAGGAGGAAGGGAAGAATTAAGGAAGTACGGGGAGGAGGAATAGGAGAAGGAGGAGGACGGGGAGAAGGAGGATGAGGGAGGAAGAGTAGGAAAAGGGGAAGAGGGGGAGAAGGGGAAGGAGGAGGATGGAAGGGGATATCGTTGTGATGAAAATTGTTGGTGATGGGTGCAGTCGTGTCTGGTTTAGTATTATATAGCATGTTATTATACTTAGTAATATGAATATACATATCCCCTGTGATCAATGCTGCTAATTTTTAAAGAGTCGGATTTTAAAAAATGGTAGAAGTGTATCCAAAACGCACGGATTTGTGTATATGTATGTATGTGTGTGTGTGTTCGTGTGTATGCACACACACACACACACACACACACACACACACACACACACACACACACACACACACATATATACATATACATATACATACATATCCTTCTTTTATCCTTCTGTCTCATTATTTCCCTTTCATCTCTTTCTTTCCTCTAGTCTTTCATTTCCATTTCACCCTTCGTCCGTTCCCCTTCTGTATACTCTTCTCATATATATATATATATATATTATATATATATATATATATATATATATATATATATATATATATGTGTGTGTGTGTGTGTGTGTGTGTGTGTGTGTGTGTGTGTGTGTGTGTGTGTGTGTTTGTATGTATGTAGTTAATATTCCTTTATTCATTCATCTATGCATTCATTATGCTTCGCCCCCATTGACTAATCCTACAACAGAATCCTTCACCACCATTTTCCAAAACACAATCAGCATCGCTCGCCTCCCTCCAACACCACCCCCTCCTCCCTCACGCCCCCTGACGCCCTCCGTCTTTGCAGGTGATCAGCTGCAACAAGAACATCTGCACGCTCCAGATCACGGACACGACGGGCTCCCACCAGTTCCCGGCCATGCAGCGGCTCTCCATCAGCAAAGGACACGCCTTCATCCTCGTCTACTCCATCACGAGTCGCCAGAGCCTGGAGGAGCTGAGGCCGATCTGGGAGGTGATTCGGGAGATCAAGGGCAACGAGATGGAGTTCCCGATCATGCTGGTGGGGAACAAGTGCGACGAGAGCGACGCCCGGGAGGTGCAGAGCTCGTACGGGGAGGCGCAGGCGAAGGCGTGGAAGTGCAATTTCATGGAGACGTCGGCCAAGACCAACCACAACGTGAAGGAGCTGTTCCAGGAGCTCCTCAACATGGAGAAGAACAGAAATATGTCGCTGCAGCTGGACGGCAAGAAGAACAAGTCGCAAAAGGGCACACGCAAGATCAAAGAGAAGTGTCTCGTGATGTGAGGAGTCCGAGGAGGAGTCCCCGTCGGGTGCTCGCTGCGGGGGGGCCGAGGGGGATGTGGCCTAACTGTGATGTTCCAAGTTCAGATTCCACGGACGCTCTACCACGCACCCCCCCTCCCCCGTCGGGCGAATCTCTGTGAACATTGCTATATTTCGGTGTTAAAGAAAGGTGGAGTTTCGTGTAACGTGTGAAGGTCACAGATCAGTCTAATCATTAGACGTCAACGTGTCATAATATTCTCAGCACAATTTACAAGGCAATACTTTAAGATAATGAAAAAAAGAGAGTTACTCGACATAATATGTAATGATCCGGTTTGATCGCCCCAAAAAGAGGTGAAATATGTTATGTACCTGTTTTGTTTATACCAAAGAGCATGGACTAGTCACATACACTCATATGTGCTGCACAGGGGCCAGTTCCGTCGCGCATTTCCCAAGCATGAAGGACTGTACAGTAATGGTTCCCTTCCGTTGTAAAGACGGCGTTTAGACTATACTTTAAAAAATCTTTACTATACTACAATGGCAACGATCCTCGACAAACGTGATTTTGACACTCTTCGTCCCCCAATAAAAAAAATAAAGAGAGTTTCGTGATAGCTAGACGATATTAGGTTAGCTACAAAGTCAGGATAGTTCACGTTGTTTATACTTAATTATTCAGGTTCCGTGTGACTGTTTCTCCCTTTTAACACATTCCCCCTTAACCTCCCTTCACCCGAGTCCTCCCTTGCCTCGATAGATGAACTCTAGCCACTCCTGACGAGACGTAGCTTCTGACGGACTTCGGGCTGCAACCATCTTGGCTTCAGTACCGGTACTGTTTCAGCTTGGTTGATGTGAGTGCCCGCTGGTTTACCCTTGTTCGGAGTGTGGATAACGACCTTTTCTCCTGTACATAAATGAGACATAATACACGTACATCAATACCTATATATATGCACACAAACCATACACATATATATATGATATAACATACATGGATGTTAACACACCGACACACACTTCAATATGTGTATAATTTAGCACTAATTTTAGATCTTTTAATAGTAATAACACATTGTATACAGAGTCAAGTGATCAAGTGATTTGTAACCAGAATCAAACATGAAGCTATCCAGATACAAGTCAACATCACTGTTGTATATATATATATATAGGTGCTCCTTGTCATCCGCGCTCGAGACATTTTATCACGCCGCAGCACCGCCGCCGTCGCCCTTTCTTCCGCCTGGCGAATAGCTCCCTCAACACGTAAAAGGGCACACTCACTCATTCTGTTATCGCAGAGTTTAAAACGTTGATGTTTTATTTGCGTTATTTGGGTTTTTAGTTCGTTAGTTACAGAAAGATATATGTGTGAAGAAAAAAAAATAAGACGATAATAATTTAGAAGAAAAAAAATGTTTTCTTTTGGGGGCGGAGCATAACAAAGCTTCCTTGTGGAGTGAAGTTCTTCCATTGTGGACATCTTTTTGATGCGAGTGGATCGTTATTCATCTCATTACTGACGTGACTGTCGATTAGCGTTAAATCCACTCTTAGAACACCAAATACTTCCAGTGTTAAATTTCTACAACGATTAGATAGTCCTGTAACGGCTAACTACTTATTAGAAATCACAAGACAGTAACTTGTCTGATACTCTTAATGATAAATGATAATAATCGAAACAAAATATAGGCTATTCTTTCAAACGACAAGGAAATCTGTCTTAATAGTATTTGATGATAGTTGTATCTGCTCCGCTAAGGCATTGGGAACAAGTTGTTTCCAAAGGTTATATATATATATGTTTTATGGGATACAAAATTACTTCAAAGGATAAATTGTTTGCAAAGGTCATATATAATCTATGGAATACAAAATGACTTCAAAAGGTTGATTTTCAAGACATCACTATTATTAATACTAGAGGTTTTGAGAAGTCAGCCTCATAGCATAAGCATAAGAGTCAATTTTGCGTGATACACATGTCATACAGTTTCCGTCAACATGGTCAATCTGTATGTTGAGAAAGAGACTTCTTAAAGATAGGAATATTGGTCTGAACAATTTGGCATCAGTGGACTTTGTATTGGTGTAAATCGGTACAGTATACTAAAGCAAGGCAGATATGTATATTGTGTATATATATGTATCTGTGTGGTGTAACACACAGGTTAGTTCCTCAGTGACACTAAAATGTTTCATGTTTGATCTTTCTTCATAACCGTAATGGTTTTTTAATAGCTTATATTCTCCATTGCACTCATGTGATAACACTTTGTGGGAAAAAAAAAATGTTATTTGGCACGAAAATTGTCGTTAAAAAGAAAAAAATGTTTTGGAATTCTTGAATCATAATAACTTGAGAAGTGTTTGTTGTGGTTTAACTACAGAAGGTGTTTATTTCAGTTTTTTGTAGACTTCACTGCATAATAATCATCAGGGCCTTATCATTGTGTTAGATATTGTAGAAAAGAATAACAAAATACAGAACATGAAAGTGACATCTTGTACTATTGCTTAAAAGTGTATTTCAACTTTCATTTTTCTCTTTTTTATTTGTGAAAAAAATGTAGTGATACATACCTACTTAATACCTGTTTTCTTAATTATTATTAGAGTTGTACGCTATATTTGGTATATGATATTTTTGACAAAAAGAATATTTTTCTTTTGTATTTGACCCAAACGTAAACATGTTATTGTTATCATTTTTGAACATCATTATGACCCTCCTACCATACAGGAAATATTGTAAATTCCATTACCATTTTGTAAATTGAATCGCTTTAAAAAATATCAACAAACTTTAAAAAATTAGTTCCGTTTATCCATATCTTGTGAAATGAAAACCAACTTTGTATTTTTTTTTTTTTTTTTGTCTTGAACGCCTTATTATTTAACCAGACTTTACTAAATGCAGTTTTTATTATTATTATTATTATTATTATTTAATATTGGCACTTCGCTTTAATTGGACTGAATATCGGAAAGTTAAATCGTACAGACATACAGAGGATTCTGGTGTTAGTTATGTGTGGCTAAACTTATTTTTTATTTATATCTAAACAGATTTTTATTTATTTCAAACTTTTATTGTGATATTTGTTATACGTTTTTTGTTTGTTTTGTTTCTGATCATTGCTATCTCTTGTTTTTTTTATCTTTTTTGTTTTTCGTATCTGTTTGTGAGTTTTTGTGTTTTTTTTTTCTCTCTACATAGCAATCTTTTCTTTTTCTTTTAAATCTGTTTCATATTTTTCTTCTTCTCTCTTCATTATAATATTTGACGATAGATATTTCGATTTATTTATTTATATATTTTATTGTTACTAATTTGTTATAATTATATTATTGTTATTATTATTATCATTATTATTTTTACTATTATATTATATTTTTTTATTATATTATCTATTATCATTATTATCATTATTTATTATTATTATTATTATTATCATTATTATTGTTATTATTTTATATTATTATCATTATTATTATTATTTTATTATTATTATTATTACTATTATTATCATTATATTATCTATCATTATTATTATTATTTATTATTATTATTATTATTATTATACTTATTCTTATTATCATTATTATTATTACATGGCCCAGACGCTACCTCCGTTGCTATTAGTCAAAGGAGAAAGGACTATTACTATTACTATTACTATTAATACTATTTAAATACACGAGTTGGATTTTGCGATTTTGAAAACACCACACTACTGATCTGTCAACTGAATGCTTTAATTGCACTTTCATTTTAATTACTTGTTTTTCTTATACTATTTTTATTTCTTACTTTTGTTTATTTATTTATATATTTTCTTTTCGGTTTAAGACACTTTTTTTGTAAGATGTAAGCACTTCATTCATATAGTTTAATATATTTTGGTTATAAAGATACTTTTTTTTGTAAGGTATAAGTTCATTCATATAGTTACTTTTTCCTGTGTTAAAATATATATTTTTTTTTGTGGTTCTCAGCCTTAACTGCAAATGGAATCTATCTTTTAGAAAAAAATATATACATACTTCTGTATATGTACGATATTATTCATAAAAAAGAAGCGAGTTTGTTTGAACATTTTTGAACATTTTCACTAAATTTCATCTCACTCTCAAAAATTGCACAGAACTCAAGGTTTCCGTGAATTAAAAATAGATAAATAAATGAGTTTCTTACGATCGCTGATAAAAGAAAAATCATGATGAATAAATGAAATAAAGGAAAAAAAAGATAAAGATGAATGATTATGAAAATAAAGGAAAATATAATGGTACAAAGAGGTCGGATAAACTTGAAAAAAAGACGAAGAAAATATGAGAAACGAAAAAAAAGAAAACAAAAAAACAAAATCTGTTCACACATCCTGTTTTCCAAATCATTTCCCTCGTTATCTTTTTTCATTATTTTTTGGTCCTATTTGTCAGTTTATACTGAATGTAGAGTTATATATTTTTGCACTAATCAGTAAATAAACTAAAAAAAAAATATAATAATAATGATATATATACACGCAAATGAAAAGAAGACTGACATATACAACACCCACCCCCCTTCCCTTCCCCCCCCCCTACCCCTATCCCACGGCAACTAAAAGGAGTTCACGCCCCCCCCCCCCCCCTTACATGAAGAGGAGGGGGGGATACAGGAGCTGCAATGGTGACTTGTGTTTTATTTTTCTCTGTCGTTATTTTGTATACACACATGTATTTAGTTGTTTTTTTCTATATTTATATGTACTCGTTTTTTTTTTTCTTCATTTCTCATTCTCTCTATCTTCTTTTTCTTTACTGTTTGTTGTTTCTATGATTCTTTTTCTTTCTGTTCTGTCTCTTTCCTCTCTCTCTCTCTTCTCTCTCTCTCTCTCTCTCTCTCTCTCTCTCTCTCTCTCTCTCTCTCTTCTCTCTCTCTCTCTCTCTCTTCTCTCTCTCTCTCTCTCTCTCTCTCTCTCTCTCTCTCTCTCTCTCTCTCTCTTCTCTCTCCTCTCGACGCCGACCCATTTCACTGGCGAGAAGTCACGTGATTTTGCTAGTGACAACATAAACAAACTCTTTTTCTAAAGAGTTTTGTCTCACCTAATACGGCTCCCAGAGGAAATAAGATGTAACATTTACCCTAAAAATTACTATCGATTTACACCTTAAAATGAAAGTGTCTAAAAACGTGTGTAGATACATACATACGTACATACAAATATATACCTGTATGAACGTATGAATGTATCTACGTATGTACTTGTGTATCGAAAGAAACACCAAAAACCAATACTAATAACATATATATATATATATATATATTATATATATATATATATATATATATATATATATGTATGTATGTATGTATAATCGTCCAACGTCGAATCTTCGAATCTTTCATTCCTATTTCGAATCTTTTTTTTCCGAGACCTGTTCCTAATCATTTTTTTTAAATTCCGAGACCTGTTTCGATTTTTGTTTCTATTCCAAGACCCGTTTCGATTTTTTTTTTTTATTCCGAGTCCTGTCTCGATTTTTCTTTTTTTATTCCGAGTCCTGTTTCGATTTTTTTTATTCATTCCGAGTCCTGTTTCCGATTTTATTTTCTATTCCTAAACTGCTGCGAATCCTTTTTTTTTTTTTTTTAGAGTCCTGTTTCGAATCTTTATTTCATTCCGAGTCCTGTTTCGAATCTTTATTTTCTATTCCTAAACCTGCTTCGAACTTTTTTTTCCATCTCGAGTCCTTTATTTTATTCCGAGTCCTGTTCCGAATTCATTTAGAGTCCTGTTTCGAATTTTTATCTTATTCCGAGCCTGCTTCGAATCTTTATTTCTATTCCTAAACCTGCTTCGAATCTTTTTTTTTCCATCTCGAGTCCCGTTCCGAATCTTTATTTTCAAACCTGCTTCGAACTTTTTTTTCCCATCTCGAGTCCCGTTCCGAAGCTCCTGGCATCCTCCCCCTGTTTTGTACGGTATCTCGTCGACCCGAGTTCTTCTAAGCATGTTCATGATAAACATTTGTGACTGTAACGTTTAAGTGTGTACATAGATTATATTCATTGAAATATATAAATGTATAATTACTTGCGCGTGTGTTACTATACTATTAATAATAGTCTTGATGACAATGGTTGTACGCATTTCATTTTAAGAAACGAAACTTCGACTTTATTATCCAAAGCTCAAATTTTGTATATGCTTTCGGTGACTGAGATATGTTCGTTGTTCTGTATAAAAAGATACAATATCCACGTTCAGTCTCCTGGTAAACATCTCATTTTATACAGTAAATTAAGCTATTCCGAAGTACAGGAAATACTTTGTTGAAAATGCCATTTCGCGCCTAACCTAAAATTGTCAAGTCTCTTTAGCAACATAAACGCTATTGTAAATCTATTTTTTTTTCTTATCAAGCTACATCGGAATTCGATATTTAATTCAGCAATATATATTTTTATTTATTTGAATTCACCAGAAGCATTTGATGGAATGATTACATTTGGCATATTCAGCAGAGTAAACACTTTTTTTTGGCCAATTTTCCCAAAGGAGGAACATATCTTAAACCTAACATTAAGCGAACGAAAGAAAGATATTATACTTGCAAATGATTATTACCATACCTAACTGTGACATTAAGAAAACATAGTTATTAGGAACAAATTCAATGTGTATGATTATTATTTTTTTCTTTTCTAAGCTATACTCAAAGATAATTGTGATAATTTCAAAAACAGAAAAGCGAGAATGAAAAAGAATTGCCAAATCTGCTGAAAAAAAACAAGAAGAAAAAAAGATAATGAAATTCAACATTTTAGTATAATCAGAACAACAAATATTAGTAATACTTCAAGATAATCCAGTAATTACGATGTTCTGATAAAGTTCTTTTCTTCTTAATAAAATCCCTCTGGAAGGTTGAACCATGGTCTTCTTACTACAAAAACTGTTTTCTAAAAATATTAAATATTAGGTACGTTACCCGTCAAAACAAGAGAAAATGAATTCAAATAAAAAAATGGCGGGAAAAGGAGAAAACGGAACCCGCTGTATTTCTATTGTCTTTACAAGTTGACATTTCTTCCTCGCAGAGCTGAGAAAGAATATATATATATATGGGTGGTGGTAGTTTGGTAATTTGTAATTCATAAATCTTATTTCTGGTATACAATATCTCCAGCATAAAAATAAATGCCAAAAAAGTCGACGTTTTGTGTGTTTTATTTGTCATCCATTTAATCTCAAGGGAAAAAGTGTAATATAAAAATAATTATAAAGTGTAGAATGAAAATAACACCGCATAATAGTTGAATAATCATGATTATGATGGCAGCACTATCAGTTTTAGACATAAAATGATAAATAGTGCTCTTAAATATATATGTTGGCTATGTCTCTCGTAAATACTAAACATAAATAATTTAGCTGATCAAAAAAGATATTTTTGTGATAAATGTTTGTCTGAATATGATATCATTAATCAAATGACGATGATAGTAAAAGAGGAGAGAGAGAGAGATACAAACAGACAGAGAGAGAAATTGTAAGAAAGGTCATAAAGAGAGGCAGAGAGAGAGAGAGAGAGAGAGAGAGAGAGAAAGAAAGAGAAATCGAAAGAAAGAAAGAGAAAGAGAAATCGAAAAGAGAGAGAGAGA